AAAAAAATAAAAATAAATCAACACTAAAATGTAATAAAATAATAATTTAATTTGACATATCAGGTGGAGTGTAAAGCTGTGTAAGAGCATCTCCAAGGGAGATGTCAAATACCAAACATCAAATTTAAATTTGATGGCTGATGTGGCAATTTGACATCTTACATAGCTTTACACTCCACCCGATATGTCAAATTAAATTATTATTTTATTACATTTTAGTGTTGATTTATTTTTATTTTTTTATTAAAAAAAAATAATAATAATAATAAAATATTCATTTGACATCTTGTTTTTGAGATGTCAAAAATAACATTTCAACCTCCAGTCTTCATTCCACATAAGCTTTGACACATCGGTTGGAGTGATGTGAGATGTTATTTCTAGCCGTTAAATGTCTATGTGGTATTTTTGACACATCGATTGGAGATGCTCTTAGATGAAGCGAAATGCGGGAAATGCGTGGATTCTAAATATAGAGGATGTAAGAGAACTTGAATTTTAATGTTTTTTTTCTTATTCACAATTTTTTTTCATAAACTTTTTAAACATACTCAACTCGACGAAACCAATCAACTCAACTCGATCAAAAGATGATTGAGTTGAGTTGGATTGGTCTAATAATAAGTGGATTTTGAGTTTAAAAAATTATAAACCTTTATATATGGGTTTGGACAAAAATCGACCCAACCCAAACCATGCCCACCCCTACTAGATAGCGAGGCAAGAATAAGAAAACAAAGCTAGTGTGGATAGAGAGAGAGGGAAAAAGGAATGGCAACTAACCTTTTCAAATGCAGTACTGGCATCGGCGTCCGCCTGCTATTCCCCTTTGCCCATTCTGAGCTTCCTCTTAATTTCCATCAAATTAATGCTGCCATTAATGGTAATTATCATCATCTTCGTCTTCGCAACAAAAAACCCAAATTACCTTCTGCAAGAAGTCTGCTCTGGCACTCATCTTCTTCGTTTTGCACCGCCGCCTCGGCCACCGATGCTTCTGCCACCGGTGCTTCTGGAGCAGTGAGCGATGCTTCTGTTGATGAGTCAGTGCCGCCGGTGAGCGACGTCGAGGACCAAAAACAGAAGATAAAGGATGCAGCCGACGTGCTCGACATAAGGGTTGGCCGAGTTCTTAAGGCATGGAGGCATGAGGAGGCTGATTCTCTTTATGTCGAAGAGGTCGACATCGGCGAGCCTGAACCCAGAACCATCTGCAGTGGCCTTGTCAAATATGTTCCTCTTGATCACCTTCAGGTACCCAAAATACTTAAATTTAACTTATATGTAGCCAATTGGGATTGCAAAGGGTAATGTAGAATTGGAGCAGGTGGAGATTATTCTTGTGTTAGAGAATGGAGAATGACCACTTTGAAAAGTGTATTCAATGTGATTTTGTTTGGTTTGATGCAGGATAGAAATGTAGTTGTGCTTGCTAATCTGAAGCCCAGGAACATGCGTGGTGTTAAGTCTAGTGGAATGCTTATGGCAGCTTCTGATGCTTCCCATGAGAATGTTGAGCTTCTTGTGCCTCCTGAGGGTTCACTCCCTGGCCAAAGAGTATGGTTTGGATCTGAAGATGATCATCAAAATCAGCCTCCTCCTGCCACAGCTAACCAGGTACTCCCCGTGTCCAATTCTCAAATGCTGAATTTATCATTTCCAAGCTGCAAAAATGCTAATATCATTCAAAAGCTAGTCACCCTTCATGAAAAATTCAAATCAATGTTTGAGCTCAAGCAAATACATGCACTGCTCCTCACTTGTGGCCTCTCCCAAGAACAGTCTTTGACGTCCAAAATCCTTTCTTTCTCGGCGCTGTCCAATTTGGGTAACATCGACTACTCATATCGGGTTTTGTCACAACTCTGCAACCCAACAATTTTTGACTGGAACACGGTTATTAGAGGTTACTCCAAGAGCAAAAACCCAAACCGTTCCATATCAGTCTTTGTCAAAATGTTGCGTGATGGGGTCTCACCAGACTACTTAACGTACCCTTTTCTTGCAAAGGCATCGGCCCGCTTATTGAAGCGAGAACTTGGTGTCGCTGTGCATGCTCACGTTGCTAAAAATGGTTTTGAGTTCGATAGGTTCATAAGTAATTCCTTGATTCATATGTATGCTGCCTGTGGGGATATCACATATGCACGTAAGGTGTTCGATGGAATTCTTGTGAAAAACTCGGTTTCTTGGAATTCCATGTTGGATGGGTATGCAAAGTGTGGAAATGTGATTTCAGCACGAGAAGTGTTTGATTTGATGCCAGAGCGTGATGTTGTGTCATGGAGTTCTTTGATTGATGGGTATGTTAAGGCTGGGGACTATAGGGAGGCCTTGGTAGTATTTGAGAGAATGCGAGTTGTGGGGCCTAAAGCAAATGAGGTGACTATGGTGAGTGTTTTGTGTGCATGTACACACTTAGGCGCGCTTGAACAAGGGAAGGTCATGCATCGCTATATGGTTGAGAATAAGTTGCCATTAACTTTGGTGTTGCAAACATCACTTGTGGACATGTATGCAAAATGTGGGGCGATAGAGGATGCTTTAGGTGTGTTTCGTGGGGGTTCGCTGCACCAATCTGATGTGTTGATGTGGAATGCAATGATTGGAGGACTTGCAATACATGGATTAGTTCAACAGGCACTTGAAATTTTTGCAGAAATGCAAATAATTGGGATTGTCCCAGATGAGATAACGTACTTGTGCTTGTTGAGTGCTTGTGCCCATGGGGGATTAGTAAAGGAAGCATGGCATTTCTTTGAATGTCTTGGTAAACATGGTATGAAACCCAAGTGCGAGCACTATGCTTGCATGGTGGATGTTTTAGCACGTGGAGGCCAGGTAACAGAGGCATACCAATTTATATGTCAAATGCCCAGGGAGCCAACAGCTTCAATGCTAGGTGCTTTACTTAGTGGGTGTGTGAACCATGGAAAATTAGATCTTGCAGAAATTGTTGGAAGGAAGCTTATAGAGATAGAGCCAGGTCATGATGGTAGATATATTGGTTTGTCAAATGTTTATGCTCTTTCGAAACGCTGGGATGATGCGAGAAGCCTGAGAGAAGCCATGGAAAGGAGAGGGGTGAAGAAGTCCCCTGGGTTTAGTATTGTGGAGATATTTGGAACCCTTCACAAATTTATAGCTCACGATAAATCATATCCTGAATCGGAAGAAATTTATATGATGCTAAGTTCTGTTGTGAATGAAATTAAGTTTGATATGGATTACAGAAATCAATATTATTTTTTGTATGCAATGGAAAATTTCTAATTTCATTGAGTTTTTTGGAACTCAAACCTGGGTGTTGAGGCATTTTAAGGAGTATATTTCTCGGGAAAAGTCTGAGGATAATCAATCTATTCCTTCAGATTGGTCTAGTCATCACAGAGCTCATGCTGGACCGATAAGAAAACCCCTGCAATTCTCACATCAAGTGGACACAAGGCTGGAAAGTTGATACCTTTTCTAGATTCATCAATTTCTATGGAGAAGCTGCACTAATTCCATCCATCTGCACTACTCCTATATGTCCTGTCTCCCATGAGTATCCGTAGACATTTGAACATATCTTATTACTCTGTCCTTGGACTGTGGCGTTTTGGTTTGGGGTACCTTTTGGCTACAAGGTGGATTGATCAACTATTCCTACCATGGATGACTGGCTGCTCAGAGTTTTACTCACCCATATGTGAATAGATTTGCAAGAAAAGAATTACAGAGTTGGATTCCTTTTACCTTGTGGCATATATGGAAACCCAGGTGTGACTGCCTCTTACAAAGTGTGTGCTTTTGTCAAGGAACGGCTGAGCATGTAAGGTCAAAAAGTGAGCAATGTAGTATGCATGTTTCAACAGAAACCCATCCACTTGGTGGGAACCTCCGAATGAATAAGAGGTTAAAATCTACTTTGATGGTGCTTGTGAACCAGGAGGGATGGCAGGATCAGCTGCTGTTTCCAGGGAGTCTTTGGGACAGTTACATGGTGGAAAGTCAATAGCCTTCTTTACATCATCAGTGTTATTAGCTGAGATTGTAGCTGCGCGGAAGGGATTGATTTGGGCAAAGTCAGAGATCAAATATGGAAACAATAATGAGCAACTGTTCAAGTCTGTCAATATGGAAACAATAATGAGCAACTGTTCAAGTCTGTCACAAAGGAAATAAGACAGCCAAGGGAAATTTACCCTTTGATGAAAGAGATCTCGCATGTTCATGCGGTGTGCAGCTTGGTCAGGAGAGAAGAAAATTATGCAGTTGATTGGGCTGCTAGGCAAGCAGAACAGGGGATATGCACAGAAAATTGGGTTTAGCAGGCCCCCATCTTCTCTTTTTCTGATTTTATAAGACATGATTTACTACGGCCACCTTCTCAGACAACAGCTGTGATCTTTACTGTCAATTGGGGGTCTTAGTTTCTTTCTAGGGCTTTGTGTTGTTTGCTTCTGTTATTTTTTCTGGTTGTCGTTAGTTTTCTCCTTTTTCTGGTTTGCATTTGTCTCTTGCCATCTGTTTAATGGAATATCAATTGGACCAAAAAAATAAAAAGAATCTGCCTTCAGGCCAGAGGCACTGGATTGTTATGGAATAGTTGGGTGCATTTTTCTCCATCTATGATATACTTTGTTTTTCATTTATGGTTCTTGCATATCACTATCTGCAGATTCAAAAGAAAAAGATATGGGAATTGGTGCAACCTCATCTGAAGACCGATGATTCTTGTATTGCTATACTTGGGGAGCATGTAATGCGGACATCTGCAGGCGTGGTAATCTCAAGTTCTCTGAAAAACGCAAATATCTCCTAATTGGACTTGGAACTTCATGCTATTAGTCAGTCTCTCCCGCATTCTTGATACCAATTTGTCATTACTGCCATGTGATGATTTCTTAACTGATTTGTAGAAATTTGGTGCCGTATGTTTTCTTTAGTTTGTGACGGTTTTGAATTTGTCAATTGACTTATGTATGCCTGTTACCATAACATCTGATTTTGAGGTTTTGCTGTGCGTAGTTTTTGTTCTTTTAATGAAAATGAGGCTGTGTTTTCCCATTCCAATTCTGTTATCTTGATTGGATTTCTGAACCTACAGCCATGGCACGAACATTGCAACGATTCAAGGGTAATCTAGTGAACTTGCGGATTGTTCTCTATTGAAATTGAATGGATAAGTCTTGAGATTTGTGATCCATAATTCAAGTATTCATCCGGAACTTCATTTTCACCCAAGTTTTTTGTGCTTTAATCTGTTCGTGAAAAATGTACCAAAAAACTAATTTGGTCTTACAATCAGCCAAACAATTCCACTTACTAGATTTGATTAGATTGCTCCACTGGTATTCAATCTATTATCAAAACTATTAGTAGCGGCTCGAATTTAGAATGGCATATGCTATGCCCTCCTCAGGAAATTATTGAAAGATTCACCCCACAAGAGAGAATAAACTTATCTCTATGGGGCTTTCTCTATAAAGTCTGCTTATACAACCCCTTTTTTCTTTGAATGAGTGGTTGGAGTTGGGAGTTTATTTGGAACTTTCCCTTGCCTGCCAAGTTACATATTTACTTCTACCCTACTTGTTTTACTAGAAGTGGAGATGCAGTATATTCTCAAAGATGGGTTTAAACCTCAACTTTGGGCTAGTCTAAACTAAAAGGGAGAGTGGAGTTTCTAATACACTCACACTACTAAGTTATCATGGAGGTTCGAACCTAAGACCACTGGCCTGCAAATCAAGATCTTTTTCCACTAAACTAGACCCTATTGGTGGATCCCTATAATTTTATTTGAAAAAGAATGGTTGCCTGGGATTGTGATCTAATTTTCCATAAATTTTACTAAAGCATGTTAAACACGTTGTGGCCTTGAGTTGAGATTTGCTTTATGTCTCGCCCTATCCAATCCAAAATAATTCATGGACTTTTGTTACTATTGTTTGTTGTGTTGAAGGCCCTCCACTAAAGAGTCTTTAAACCAGTTTGGTATGGTAATGGCCCTAATAGGCCACATTACTTGAAATAACTCTCTTGGTGTTTTGACTAGGCTATCCTTCTCTTGATTTCCACTTTGAGATTTAAAAGGTCAAAACCAAATATGAATAAAGTACAATATTGGGCGGCCAAAATTCTCTTATGACATGTTTATAATCTATGTTACAACTTACAAGAGAAAATACATGATCGGAATACGTATAACCTGGACGGAATTGAAATTGAGTTCAAACCACGTCACTGCTTAATAATCGTACAAATTCTCTTCACGTTCTCTTATACTAGTAGGTTAGGTCAAATATTTCAATCTAATTGACTTAATTAGCAGACATTGAAATCAGTTTAATAGTCCAAATTCAAGCAGCCAAGTCAGAAGAGCAAATGATGATGTTAAAGTGGTTGAGTTAATTACAATATTATAGTACACAACACGCCCCAAGTAGCAACACAAGATCACATGAGAAATGAGGCAGAGAGAAAAAGATGACAACGAACAAGCCTGTGTGTGATTTTTCATGGTTTGTGGTTTATGGGATTTTTTTTTTTTTTTATCTAAACCATGAGGTGGTCCTGGATGGGCCCCAACTATGGGTGGCACCTTTAAGTCTTAACCACAACCCAAACTAATCCCCACTCACACCGGGTCGGCCCGTAAGGGGTAAAGTGTTGGCCAAAGTGGTGACTCCGTACGAGAGCAGAGATCGAACCCCTAACCTCTCTTAAGGAATGAGAGTGCCGAACCACTCACACCAACCACCTTGGTTGTTTATGGGATCTTTAGTTGAGCGGTGGTGCTTGAAGACATTGTTGGTGGTTTAATCAATTTAATAATCCAATTCATAAGAGAAATTAATGGTGTTTTAGTGCTTCAGTTAATTAATATATAGTAATTAAATTAACAATAATGCTATACTTTTTCATGCTTTGTGCTTGATTGATGGTGTTGAACTGAAAACAACATCTAAGTTCTGTTTCACGCCTTCTACCAAATATTTCTATATAAACAATTCATAATAATTGCAAATTCAAAACATGGGAAATGTTTAATTAATATTGTATCATATTTTGTTTTACAAATCATTATTATATCAAGAAAACGTTCTTTTGCCAAATTATCAATCTGGCTACTAATTATTTGAATTAATATTTTAATATATAATGCCAAAGTGACATGACATAGAGTCACAGATAACATCATATGAATTCGTACAATGGCTTTATCATGCGATGAAATAGGTTATTTAATTCATTGCGATGTTGTTATTATTATTATTTTTCTGATTTTCTTTTGTGTATCTAGTGCAGCCAGCTTAAAAGTGTGAAAAGGATTCTTGATCCGTACCCAGGGACGGACTCAGGAATTGCAAATCGAGCGGGCTAAATTTACCTTAAGTACAAATATATTAAGAAAATTTACCTTGAGTTTTAGGCTTGAACAATAGATTTTAGGTACTAAAAACTAAAGGTAACCCACAGAGGTGGCTAAATTTTTTTGAGGTAAATTATAAGCCCTTGTTTGTTATATTTTTATTTTATATAAGCACTTTTTTCAGTATATTTTCTTCATCGTATTTAGAACTTTTTGTTATTATACGACATTTGAAACAGTGAAAATGTTGGAATTATTAATAATATTGTTGAAATATTTGGAAGGGATTGAAGGGAAATAAAGAAAGAAAAAAAACAAAAGATATTTATAAGGAATTGAAGTTAAAAAAGAAAGTAATTATAAAATAAAAACATCCCATTTTGGGGCAGTGCACCTGACAAAATTCATCTCCCCCTCTCTCTTTTTTATTATATTTTGTTTTCTTGTCTCTCTCCTTTTTAATCTCTCCCTCTCTTTTTTTATTCTTTTTTCCTCTTTCTCTCTCTCTCTCCCTCTCCCTCCTTCCTTTTTCTTTTTCCTTCTTCCTCTCTTCTTCTGTTCTTTCTTCTCTCTCCGTCTGCTCATCTCTCTGTTCTTTCTTATGGCAGCCGGGCTAAATGTTAATTTAAGCTCAGAAAAACTAAAAGCCCCCTGTCCGTACCAAAGAAATGAGGTTTTTTTTTTGTTTTTTTTTTGGGACATTTTGAGTACCCAAAAAAGTGAAATAATTGAGATACAGAATCCATATAAAATCTATAATCAGCATTATTATCAATTTGCTATAATTGCTTCACTTCAACTTTCTATGAGTGCAAATGATATCATGTGTGCCATAGCAATTAACAATGAGAATAATTTTCATAATTTAATCTCTCATATCCAAATTAACTTTTTTATCCGTTTGTTTTTGTCAAGGATAATGCTACACTGACTGGATATCTCTCTTGAAATAAATGGCTTCTCCAGAATGGGCTCTTTTTTTCTTTTTTATACAAGCGATATTCTATTTTAATTTAATCTAAATTATGGGAACGGGGATTCAAACTCGAGTGTCGAGTGAGGAGCACATCCACTTAAATTGAGGATCATGAATATGTAATTATTTGATCATAAGTTCAAATAAAAAACAAATGAACAGTTTATTATTTCCTTAACCAGCCAATGATGTGGGCGGGGCAGATGTATTAATCCACTGTCATTTCAGTCAAGAAAGAAACAAAATCCCACTGCAGAGCCGTGCACATTTTGGCAAAAGATTAATTTGGCGTCTGGTTCAGAACTAGACAGTTATGAGAAGATAACATATTTCCTGTCTCGAGGAATCCATGAATTTATTAATTATATGATCTCAATGTAGCTTTTGGTTAGCACGAGGGAAAAACCTCTTAAACATCTATCTAGTAGGTGAGCTCCTCCAACTCCTGCATTGGGGCTCACATGGCTGCATATATTTTGGCAAAGCAAAGCTCTTGACAAATGGGTGTGGTCCTGGCTACAGAAGTAGCTCAGTGCCACATGTAAAGTGCAAGAAAAGATAATATTAAGAGGATATGTAAGAAAGGAAAAGACTCACTCCAATTTTCTTCTCATATATCATGTAACATGAAACCAAAAATTTGTTTAATTTATATTGTGCGAAAACACTTTAAGATTTTATATATCATGCATAATAAAGCACATACCAAAAACGTAAAGCAATAAACACACACACAGAGCACAAGAATTACGTAAAGCAATAAACACACACAGAGAGCACAAGAATTTATAGAAGTTCGGTGTTATGCCTATGTGCCCTTGGTCTCATAAATCACCGTATGCAAGTAGTGCATTTCCCTCATTTGATCAAAGCTCGCAATCCCAGATTCGAATTCACCCCAACCCACGTGCTGATCCTTTTCCGACCCATGACCAGATCCGAATATGGTCATATATGCAAAAAAGCAACATAATTCCCAATTAATAGCCACCATATATGCCAAAAATGAGTTTTTTTTCTTGCCGTGCTTAGCCTGGGCCGGCCTGTTTTTGGATATATGGTGGCCATTGGCAACTAGGTTGCTTTTTTTGGTATCCCTACAAAATTAACCCAATTACTAATAGGCGATATGCAAAAACGAGGTTTTTTTGAACTTGTGTCGTGCCTAGCCCGCCTCGGTTTTGCATATATGGTGGCTATTAATTGGGAATTATGTTGCTTTTTTGTGTATCCTTATGAGAACAATTAGTTTTTTTAGTATGCAAAAAAGCAACATAATTTCCAATAGCCACCATATATGCAAAAATGATTTTTTTTTTATTTTTATAATTTTTAAACTCAGGTCGGGCTCGAGTTCACAATGAACCGAGATAAGAGGCCTTTTCGTCCTAAAATGAGTTTTTTTGTTCAATCATGCTCTTGGCCAAGCTATCTACTATCTTGACAACGTCGCTTAGCTGCCTCTTCGCTCCTCGGAGAGCTTCGACGTGATGTCAAAGGCCACCGCGAAGTCCAAAATGGGCATCGACAGTTGGAGACAACTCGGGTCCAACCCAAAGGAGAATTTCCAAATGTTATCGAACGAAAACCATCGAAACAGGTCCTGCAAGTCAACGGTGCCATTTTGGTCTTTGGCAAATGTGGCCAGCAACAGAATTAGCCTTCATTGGATTTCCGAGCTCACGATCAATTAAATATACTTTATTGATTTAATTGATATGATATATAATATGAACATATCACATCATACAGTATAGAAATATGGAATAAAAATGTAGTAAGTGTAGCATTACCCATAA